CCAAAGGATAGACAATTTGCACACAGTACCCAAATAAAGACTAAATTTTAGAAATTCTTTTTTCCTCTAGTTCAACTGTATTGCTAAAGAAAAAGATAACATTAGAGAGAAGATAGTTCCATCCATCATCATCTTTATTATCCAAATGATCTTCCTTATGATCATATCATTGATACATTTATTAGGAACACTAAAATGAGGTTTTGTGATGATGAGACTTGCACCTGGAGAGAGTGAATGCAAAAATGGTGGTAGCACCAATTTGTTTTGATTTACTTATTTCCAAACTTTGCTATATGCTAGATACTGCTAGACACTCAGGATGCAGGCAACTATGAACACACATGTGTCCTGCTTCATTAGTAAAGTTGGATATTGGTCACCAGTCAACTTTTACTCTACTGTTGAAATAAAGATTAATCTTATTCAGTCTTTTTCTGGACCCTTTATTATTCAAGCCCTTATCTATTCAAAGTTCTTATCTGTCTTGCTCCTTTCAGTTGCTAATGGTGACCCTGCTCTGGGAATTTTCTCCATACTGGTTTAGCAAGTCCAGGCAGGTTTTGCCCCAGGGTCTTCCAGGCAAAGTACTTTAACAACTTACCCACCTCACCAAGTTTCTGACCATTTACCTTTACTAAAATCAGTCACTCAGATAAGTCAACAACTCAAAGGGAAATGGCTGAGAAAAGCTACGTGAGGATTTCCTAAGGCAAAATGACAGATGACATTGTCAGGACATGAGCCACTGGGCTAGGCAACAACATGTACTCTACATGTTGTGTAGAGTACACAAGACAAGAAGAACATCTTGTCAGGCATCAGAAAAACAAAAAAGAAAATGAAGTTCTTTTAATCTTGTTCTCAAAGAGCTTACAAGCCTCTTCAGGAGTTCAGTCTATACGTCGTGTCAAAACTGTAGTGATCACTGAGAGGATAACTTACACAGCGGAAAGAAGAGTGGACAAAAATCATAGAAGGGTCATCATGCTCTCAACAAAGAATAGGGCCTTCAGAGGAGCAGTTCCATCAAAAGATATGAGGCCTTTATAGTTTGTTCCCAGGTTTCCATAGCAAAAACCAAAACCAAACACAAAAAAGAGAACTTTAGCTTTGCAACTACTTATAATCTCGTAGGGCAGGCAACAAAGAGTAAAAAAGACAAGAGCAATTTGAATGTATAAGACAAGTGGGAGATTAGGGAACATTTAGCAATGGAGTTTGGAGGACAGTTTTGAGCAGGGTTCATATAAGGAAATAAATATGATGAAGGAATGGGCCAAATAGGGATAGACCAGTGCCTGATACAATGGATTAAGGACAAATATGAGTACGAATCAAGGTCAGAGCGCTATGAGGATGGCAGTTTGTTGGGAGAACTTGGCTGCTAGGTTGATAGCTTTGACTTTTATTCTTGTGGGCAGTTACTAAAAGCTTGAGAGCCAAAGAATGACATCATGAAAATAGGAGAGACTGGAGGCAGAGAAACCAGTTAGGAGTCTACTGTAAACATTTTTGAGATAAGGTCCTGTTGTGGGAATGGGAAAGGAAGAACGGATTTGAGGGACACGAGAAGGAAAAATTGACTGCTCATGCCACTGGTTAGATGTGGACAGAAAGCAGAGGAAACTTCAGTTGGAAGCATGTTGAGGGGAATATTGGGAGATAGGACATGAACTTCTGATGGAAAGTCTTTGCAAGAGGAGAGAAAAATTTACATAATGGTAGGAGTGTACTCTCAATTGATTATCTTACAAAAACTAAGGCATTTCTTTATGGTATGGCAGGCTGTGGGTAACATACTGATTTTAAATGACAATAGCAGGGAGCAACTCCTGGCTCACATGGGATGGAAGGATAGAAAAAAGAATGGAAGCACTCTGTCATAGGATTTTAAACCCTAGACTAGGGTTTTTTGTTTGTTTTTTCCCCACAAAATCTTTGTGTGTCCTCAGCCACAATCTTTCGGCTACTATCCTTATCTATAAAACAGGGATATATAGTATATTGTCTATTCTTTGAGGGTTCCTGAGACTTAATACTAGCTATTTAATTGAGTTCTTTAGTATGTAAAAGGTATTGTGTTAAGAACTTTATTTGCATTTTCTATTAAATCCTTAGAATGACCATTTCACATTTAAAAGATCCCGATATTCAGTGGCTTAAAACGATGTACTATTCTACCATCTGGACTTGGTTAGGCTCTGTAATTCTTTTATTGGTCTTGAAGGTGATCACTGGTGTTTTGTTGTCAGCTGGGAATCTCCCGGGGTCTGGGCTCAGCTCTGAGCTCAGCTCTCCCTCTCTCTATGTATCTTAGGAACTTTCTCTCCCCATGTGGTTTCTTCCATAGGATAGTTAGCTTTCTTAGCTTGTGACTTGGGTCCCTCAGAAGTAAAGAGGGACTGCACCTTATTGGGCAAATTAGCAGTTTCCTTTTTAAATTTTTCGGGTCAAGGCAAGTCACTGGCCTAGTTCAAATCTAAGTGAAAGGGTCTTACTAACAGGATAGTGGTCCGCTGAAGGGCAGCAAGGCAGTGGACTACCACAATACTGTCTCCAATTTTTAAATGAACAATCTGTAAATAAGGGAGGCTAAATGACATGTTCAATGTAGAAAGTAGAACTAGGCACTTCAAAGCTTATATTCTAAATCGTGAGCCAACTGATATAATTTGTAGGTGTTTTAACCTAGAATCAGTGAGGTGTTACTGTCCCTACTTTCCAAAGAGGGTAAACCCAGGAATGGAGATTTCACATGTCTTGTTGCCTCAGGAGTCTAAGGTATTTTGTTTTGGAGATCATGGATTATGCACTTATGCCCTATACCATTTTGCCTCTCCTGGGTAGTTCCTGTTTCGTACAAAACACTTGTAATTGTTATTTAATCTGAAGCTAATGTTTGAAGGACTGAAGCAAATCTCTTGAACTATCTACTATCACATATTATAGGCTGTTTGGGAACAGGGAGTTTTCCCTTCCAGTTATCCTGTGATCAGGGCAATTTCCATTTTAGGCATCCACTCCTCTCGCCTCCACTGTTTATTAATATGCCTTGAAGGTTGGTAATAAATGAAGACGGTATCTGTGTCCTTCTAGTCCCCAGCACCCTGGTTCTCACTGACTGATTAGTCTCATGGCTCCCTCAGCATTTTCTTCGTCTCTTGAAGCTTCCAGGTACTCTTTACAAAACAGGCAAGGTGAGGACCTTCCTAGAGTCATCCTGGCCTCAGTTTCTATCCTTTATCATCAACTCAGTCTCATGACCTCGGCATTAGTAATCATTGGGTTGCAGTTACTTCCCCTAGTTCCATGGCTAATCTGCCCATTGTCACACCTGTGAGGGTGTCTGATAGTAATTTGCAAAGATCTACTTCTAACAGAGAGACCTCTAGCAGCTCCCCCCTTCCCTGTACTTGCCCTATGGGGGTGGGGGGAACTTGCTATATGGGGAGACCAGGGTTCCACAGTCCCAGTAAGGAGCCATGCTCTGTTTACCTTTGAAGGTAATCCATGTGGTTATCTTTCTCTCAGGCAGCCCTGGTTTTCTCCAGTCTGTGGAGAGCCTGGAATTAGAGCACACTCTCAAGTACTGATAATAAGAGGCCCTCGCTTTGATGGGTTCTTGCTCTATTTTGAGCAGTGACAAGAAACACAAAAAAAATCCTCCTGTTCTCCAAGGGAAAGCTATGAGGTGGTCTTGTCTTTCTGTAAATTTTTCACCTTCAAGACAACTCCAGATTTTAATTTTGACTTTATTTCAACCTTATAAAATGTTGAGACACACTACCTGTAATTCTGTTTAATGTACCACACACAAGTATGTAGCTAGGTGCTTTTCAACAGTGCTTTACATACATTGTCTCATTTGATTTCATAAACTTCTATTTGAGTTAAGTGGGGTGGAGTAGGTGCTTTCTGAAGAGTGACTTACGTTCCCTTTTTTCCCAGTGGAGAGGGGACAAGGGAAAACTGAGCTGCCCCAGAAGGCCAGGCCACAGCCTACTTCCAGCAGCTGCCTCTTCCTCCTGGATCCAGGGGTAGGGGGTCTCCACCCCTCACCCAGATGTAGTCTGTGGGAGGGTGGGTGGGTTGTGGGGTGTTTTTTTTCAGGGTCACTGGCACACACTCTGTATTCTAGTCACCTGCTCAGGTTCCATCCCGGCTCCAGGATCTTGGGAAGACCTCAAGAACATTCCAATCCTCCCACTACCCCGCGACTATGTAGCCGGGGGAAAGAGGGGGGCGCGTTTGCTCTTGCCTTTCAACACCCAGTTTTCTCCTCAATTCTTAGTGACCTGACACACCCCGGAGAGGAAAGAGGATTGAAGAATGATTTGAAGGCTGTTTGTTTACAGCCCACCCGTTTTGACAAAGTCGCATCACTAGCGAGGCACTTTCTGGGCGCCGACTGTGGGGCAGACGACTGAGAGCCCAGCAGCCGAGACGCCTCGCCTGACCAAATATGGTCACAAGCGCTAAGCAGGCTCCCGTGGAAGGGCAGGCCATGCCGGCGTCTCCCCGCGCCGGGGCGCACCCGGGCCAGCCCCGGCAGGGCCGGGTTTCAGCGCGGCGCTCCGACGCCCGCGGCCGAGGCGCCCGGCGGGAACGGAGGGCGCGGGGCCCCAGAGCGGCGCTTCCTCGGCCCGGGCCCGCGTGCCCTCTACCGCCCCCAGCCTGGGCTTCGGTCCACAACCCCTGACTAAACAGGCTCGGGCCACTTTCCGTTTGATCCCGCCCCAAGACAGTGGTGAACGCAAAGGAGGGCCGGCGCAGGGCGCCGCGGAGAAGTCCGCGCGCAGAGAGGAGTGGGCGGGGGGCACCAGGGTCCTCGGGCCGGGCGAAGCACCCACGGCGCCCAGGGCTTTCCAGAGCCGGGGCTGGGCAGAGGAGGGGGAGGAAGGGGAGGGCCGAGCCGGGACGGGCGGCCTCGGGACTTGGAGGCCATGCATAATTCAACAGCTCAGCTTTCGGGCCCGCCTCTTTCCTGGGAGTGGGAGTTTGTTCCAAACTTTGTTTATGGGACAGTCCGGGAGCCGCGGCGGCCGCGCTGCCTGCTTCTCCTCCGCCTCCGCGCGGCCCGGGCGTGCCTGAAGCCAGCTCGGGGGATGTGAGAGCCGAAGCGTCTCGGCTGCCGGGCACCGCGTCGAATTGGAACTCGCCGGCAGCGCTCGGGCTCCCCTCGAGCTCGGAACGCCCTCGAGCGACCCCGGCCTGACGGCGGATTCCGGCGGGACGGCGGCCGCCGCACGCCCAGCCTCGGCTTCGCTGCGCGCCCAGGTAGTGCCCGCTGAGGCGCGCCCGCTGACCTGGCACCGCCCGGTGGCCCCGCGCTCCTCGGGCTCCCGGAGTCGCGATGTCCAGGCGTTGGCGCGGGTTGAGGCTTTAGGGGCTCTGTGCCTGGAAAGGCGCGACCTGTCCTTTGCCACCGCAGTTGTGCTGCGTCCCGGGCGCAGTTACTCAACCCCCCCCCCCTTCCCGGTATCTGGGGAAAGTTGCATAATTCCCCGGGCCGGGAGGGACCCTCCCCCGCCCGCCGGTCTGGTGCCGAGTGTCTGGGATCCCTCGACGGCACCTCTGTCTCCTCTCTTCCTCTCTGTTGTGTCTCGTCGCAGCCCCTCCCCGCTTCGCCCCCTCCCCACTTCCAACCCAAAGCCGACCCGCCTTCCCTTCTCCCCGCAGAAGATGAATCCGGCCTCGGCGCCCCCCCCGCTCCCGCCGCCCGGGCAGCAGGTCATCCACGTCACGCAGGACCTGGACACGGACCTCGAGGCCCTCTTCAACTCCGTCATGAACCCCAAGCCCAGCTCCTGGCGGAAGAAGATCCTGCCGGAGTCGTTCTTCCAGGAGCCGGACTCGGGCTCGCACTCCCGCCAGTCCAGCACCGACTCGTCGGGCTGCCACCCCGGGCCGCGGCTGGCCGGCGGCGCCCAGCACGTCCGCTCGCACTCGTCGCCCGCGTCCCTGCAGCTGGGCGCGGGCGCGGGCGCGGCGGGCGGCGCGGCGCAGCAGCACGCGCACCTCCGCCAGCAGTCCTACGACGTCACGGACGAGCCGCCGCTGCCCCCCGGCTGGGAGATGACCTTCACCGTCACCGGCCAGAGGTACTTCCTCAAGTAAGTCAAGCTCCGCCGGGGTCGGCGGGCTGCGGCGCCCGGGGCGCGGGGCTGGTTCGCGCGCGCGCGGGTGACGGCGCTGCCGTGCGCGTTTCTCTCCCGGAGGCCGGGCCGGAGAGAGTGAGCTGGGGCTTGAACTGTAAGGGATCTGGAGCAGAGTCTCATGAGGCTCTTCGAGTGTCCTGACGTCCCGAGAGACTCTGGGGAGGGAAAGAATTAAGGTGGGGCGGGGGGTTGTTCCCACGAGACACGTAAGCGACTTTGCGCAGAATCTGAAACACTGATACATTGATAGCGATAGAGCCTCCTGGGCACAAGCCCCTCACCCCTGCCCACTGTAGGTCAGAATTTCCAGAGCCGGGTTCCCTGGGATGTGACATCAAGTTAAATAAAGGAAAAGTTGTGAGACTTGGGGAGGAGGCAAGCTTCAGCAAGTACAGGTGGTCCGCAGTCTCCTGGACTTGGGGGAAAGCAACCAAGAAAAGGGACTACCTGTTACACCGTACTGTTTTCTGCTGGGTGACGTAATGACCACGTCGACAGTGATGTAATTAGCAATTGTGTGGTGAAGGAGTTGTGGGCTGGACAAGTCAATTGTTTGGAAATGGGGTCAGAAGTTTTATTATGTCACGCTTGGTAACCTATAATACCATCAAATCAAGAGCCTGCTCGCTCATTCTTCACTCACATTGTTCTGGATTGTTGATGTCATAAATTTTATATTAGATTTGAATTAGACTATACAGCAAAATAGATTCACAGACAACAGAATTGTGTCAGTGTGGTACCCTAAGATAAGTAAGGTCCTTAAGAGAAACCAGCCTGGAACTTGAACTGTAAGGAGTGAGGCCATGGGGGCCCAGGCTATCAGTGGCCTAGACCCACGTCATACCTCTGGACCACTTGGGTCAGGATTATCTGCACTGACTGGCACATCACTGCCAGCCAGGGAAACTCCTAAGAACTTGCCCTAGGGTTTATTTTAAAGTTTTTGATGGAGAAGCCATCAAAGTAGCCTGGAGTGGTCTCAGTGTAAAAGTTGTATTGTCTTTATGTGCAGTTTGTAAAATATAATCAAGCCTTTCTTTAGCATTAGTATTTGAGACTGCTGTCAGAGGGCCTTCATAATGAACCCAAGTGATGGATGAGAGCTGTATTATAGCCAGCTCTTTGACTCATACTGGTGACCAATTATTCCTTCCCCTTCCCAAAGCTGTTGACATCTCATGCAAGGAGACCTATATTTTGTTTCTGGGGTTGGTGCAATGCTGAGAAATATTTGTCCTAAAGCAGACTTGTTGATAATTTTATTCCAGAGCTCTGAATTCTTGAGTGATAGTGTGATTTGGTGCTTTGACTTCTAAATGACTGGTGAAATACAAATATGTGATAGAATGACATTTTTTCTGAATGTGACATTATGCTGAAAGATGAGTTTAGTTCTGTAGTACACAAAAATCTAAAATAGGGCCTCCTCTGGTGGCGCAGCGGTTGAGCAAGGGTCCCACATGGCGCGACAGACCTCTCCTGCTGCGCCTGCTGCTCCCTTCAGCAGTGTATTTCGTCAGTCTGCCTGTTCTGTTCCCCGCTCTGGCTCTGGTGAATTCTCTCACCCTCCCGCGCTTCTGACTGTACCCAGTGCTTGTATAAATAAATAAGTAAATCTTTAAAAAAAAAATCTAAAATAGCTGGCATCTGGTATTAAGTTGGTATTAAGTTACTTAGGTAAATGAAGTTTTGAATGTTGTGCTTTTTATAGAAACAGACTTAGCAAAAAATGCAAATAGAAGAAGATCCATATAATTTATAGTACTTTATTTAGAAAACTTAAGGTCCCAAAGGGTTCTTTTAGCTGTGCTCATAAACACCAATGTATATATAATCAATATAACTATGACTGTTGACGCTATGAAACTAGACCTGAGCTTGCCTAATATCTGGGGATAGCAAGGGACAAAAGACCCTCAAACAAAAGCAAAATGAAAACATTCCCTTTTATACATCTATTCTGAATGATTGGAGTAGCTCAGAAATGATTTTGTGAAACTAGGCCAAAAATGAAAGTTAGCTTTGGGTTTAGAGAAAGTTCCTTAGATCCTTCTATGTCCATCCACCCAACCACAATGACTTCCCAACAAAAAGTCCAGTGAATCTTCATTTCACTTTGGATAGTCAACGACTGAAAAAAAATGTGTAAGTAGTAAGGTAGCCTGATGTGATTCTATCTTAGGAAATTTTTTGGCCAAGTGGCTAAGGGAATTTAAGAAATTAAGTCATCATGACTATTGTCTTTCAGGATAAGCAATCTGCCAAGAATTTTGAGTTTCTTTTGGAGCTTTGTTTAAAGTTGGACTAAGGTAAATGTCATATGTCACACTTAATTACACAGTTTCAAAAGTCAGTATATTTTGGTGGATTAAGTAGAAGCTTAAAAAATAGGCGACTGACCCTGAGTTAATTTTCGTGAAATCTACACATTACTTTGCTTTATCATCTATGAAATGGAACTAGCAGAGGAATTCTGTATTTGATTCTGTTGTAGTTGAGGGTTTCATAAATCAGAGCTCAAACTGTTTTAGAATTCACAAGGGTTAAAAAAAAAAGAGAACTAGCAAGGGTCAATTTCTTTTTGGCTAGAAAACTGAGACCAGGGAAGGGTGACCTGTGACTTTGGGAAAGTCATGTGGTTATTTAATGGTCAACCCTGGACTGGACCTCTAATCTGTTACCATTTACTTAAGGAGCAGTTTTCCATTTTCCCCACTACCACCTTTATCCCCTTTCCTCAGCTGAACAATGAGCTTCATGAGAAACAAAGCATAGTCATCTAAGAAGCTTTAAAAAGCTTTTTGTCAGTTTCTCAGGTAAGAATTGTTCTTAGGTATATGATGTAATCACTCTCTGGTACCTCTTAAAGGGCACCTTTCCTGAGTGGTCACACCTTTCCTGTGGTCAGGCATTCCTTTAGGGTAACATGTAACAGCAGAGGATCAGATGTTAAAACACATAGTCTCTGAAAAGGACTGCCTGTTCCTACTATCTTTCAAAGCTTATAAATCAGGCTGGGGTATGTAGGTGTAGGGCTCTTAGCAACCAGGAACATTGACTTTGATCACACTAAAGTTAAGAAAATTCTGATTAAAAATGGAATACATATGTATTATACATGAACCAGAAAATAGAGAAATATAAAGAAGAAAATGACCCAACCTGAGTAGAATTTTCCATACTTATTCTTCTACAAACATTCTTGTAGAAAAATTTTGAATAACAATATTATAAAAATATTTTATCCCCACTCTTAAATATAATTCCCTTGATAACTTTTGCTTGCTACTTTCAATTTTTAGTAATAATTTTAGTGTTTTGCCTTTTTCTGAATTGTGTGGTAGGAATTTTTTGGTCAAAGTGACCTATGTACTTGGTGACACATCCAATAGTACAAAAGGACTTTTGAAAAAAAAAAAAAGGTTCACAGATTTGATTTTTAAAAACTGTTTCTGTAGTTGATTCTTAGATTGCTACCTTTTTAACCCTAAGTAATATGCTTTTACCACTATTTTTTAATTTACCAAGTTTTAACTCGATATGAAAATAAGAATGTAGCTTCTTTCACTAGTTGTTTTTCTTCCTCTCCCAAATTTGATATTTATATTAATTTTCATTTGTTATAGGTCACTTTTGTTATTTATCTTTTGTTGAGTCAACATTGGTTTACACTGTTGTTGGTATTTTGGAAGTACAGGATCCTCCCTTCAGACATAATTACCATAACTGACCCACCACCCAAGCACTCATAGCAGCATCCATTGTGCCCCCTCCTCACTTTGTTCCATTCCTCTCCCACCCCTTCTGGATACTGCTAGTCCTGTAGTCAGGTTTCAAGGGTTGATTTCTTTAAGTTTGTCTTTTTCTAACCCTTTGTTTGGTTTCTCTATATTCCACATATTAGTGACACTCCTTCTTACTTTTTTGTCAGTCATTGACAGTGTTTCTTTTTTCTTTTTTTTTTTTTTTTAAAGATTTATTTATTTATTATTTATACAAGCACTGGGTACAGTCAGAAGCGCGGGAGGGTGAGAGAATTCACCAGAGCGGGGAGCAGAGCAGGCAGAAGGACCGAAGTACACTGCTGAGGGGAGCAGTGGGCGGCAGGAGAGGTCTGCGCGCCATGTGGGACCCTCCTCTGGTGGCCGGGGAGCAGCCGGGGATCGAACCGGCGCTGCAGAGGCTGCGGGCAGCTTCACAACCCAGCGCTCAACCGCTGCGCCACCAGGGAGGCCCGACAGTGTTTCTTAACAACCCATTTTCTAAGTCAGGGAGATTTGAGTGGTTATCAGTTCCACAATTCACTTTTTGTCACCAACACCTTAATTTCCAAACCTTTCCAAACCTGTGAACCCATACCCATTATATTTTGTTTCCAGATTAACCTTGTTATTAATAAGTTACTATTAAAGCTGAAAATCTGTAGCCAGTATTTACATTATTATAATTCTATCCATATACTTCATTACCTGTGTATTATAATTAGATTTTAGAGTGTACATTGGTTTTGGTGTGGGGACTCCTGGACCAAAGGAAGATGCTTCCAGTACCAAAGGAATTATTTCTTTTCACTCTTCATCAGTCATTTAAATTTGTACTACCATTTAGTTTCTTCATATTTGCAGATCAATTTTTGTGAACATTTTTTTCTAGTATTTCTGATTGCCTTGTAATATGTTTGTGCAGACCTTCCTAGACTTGTAATGGGCTTATGTCCTTGACAGACTCATAAAAAGTTGAAAATATTGGCAATCAAAAATGAAAATGCTTTTAATACACTGAATGTTATAGTTTAGTCTAGGCTATCTTAAAGGTATTCAGAACACTTACATCTGGTCAAAATCATCCAACACATTGCTTATTTTATAAACTGTTGGATATCTCAGACACAGATGGGCATTTTGTAGAATTGATGAGATGTGAAAACACAGTATTAAAAAAAATGTTGGCAA